TATTTTTGCATCCCCAGCAGCTAAAATAGTGTTGGTACATGAAAGACACCAGTGAAACAATTCTGTAATGAATTTGCACGTGCCCAAATTATAATGTTTTCAAAGCAGAGTTAAAATTGGGTCTGCAAAACAGCTTCCAAAATTTCTCTATTGGAAGTAATTTCTCCCTCCTGTTGACACTGTATGTTGTGTTACAATTAATTGTGCCCATGTAATCTCTACCAAGATCAGAAGTTGAAGGCAGGATGGACTTAAGACTCATTTTTGAATCTACCAAAACACTTAATACCATGCCCTATAGAATTGATTTAGTTTCATCAGTCTTCAATTTATTAGCTGTTGCTGAATTTAGGTCTTTTCAAGAGTAAACTCAAAACTTATTTTTGAGTCACTGAAGGTTACAGTGAACATCAGATAAGGAACTCTGTCCTCAAAGTTCATGATATGGCATTTGTCCTTACATCTCTGTTCTTCTCCAACTGCCTTATTTTGGCACAAAATGTTTAAATATGGGCCTAACTGTGGTTGGTTCCATGTCCTTTTTAGATGGTTTTATAACAGCTATATTCCTTGCCACTACCAGAAGATATTTCCCCAATAGGTCATACTTCACTGCTGTGTTTTCAGTGGTTGAATGTCTCAGAAGTGTACTCTCTAGATAAATGGGGTATGTTTTCATTAAGAGTAGACAAAACAAATTCATAAAGTGGACAAGTACAGAAAAAAAAACACTGGTAATAATCTGAAGATCAATTACAAAATGAAAAGGGTCTAAGTAATCCTAAAAAATGTGTTAAAAAGCATCAGCCTTTCAAGGAATATCTATTCAACTAAATATTCCTTAACGTTGAGCCCTAAAACTCTTACTGTCTAGAGGTCAAGATTCTTTTATAGTTCATGTAAAAGATGACCATTACCAAAGTTTTTTTTTAATTATAGAGATGGTAAAGTGCTAAGAACAGAAATCAGGACATCACTAAATTATTGGAAAGATAGTGTGGGGGAGATATCATAACTGGATAAAAATTTTTTTTTAAAAGCTAATAAATCAGGGGCGCCTGGGTGGCTCAGTTGGATAAGAGTCCAACTGTGGCTCAGGTCATGGTCTCGCAGTTTGTGGGTTTGAGCCCTCATCGGGCTATGCGTTGACATCTTAGAACCTAGATTCTACTTTGGATTCTGTGTCTTCCCCTCTCTCTCTCTCTCTCTCTGCCCCTCTCCCGCTCATACTCTGTCTCTCTCTCTCAAAAATAAACAAACATTAAAAAAAAGTTAATAAATTAAGTTTAGTTGAAAATCCACAGCTTGAGGGAAAAAATCTGGAAATTTATGCTCTTAATATAATCTTCACTTCATTGGTCTACTTCAAACCATTTTAGGATAAAATTTGAATTGTATAAAACCCAACTATTATCAAATGCCTAAGTTAATCCAAAACTTGTTTCTTGCAAGTGCCTCAGGAACTGCTGTAGGAATGAGAGAGAAAGGGGGCAGAGCAAGCATCCCTGCACTAACTGTAAGTGCGGTTTTATATAGAACAGTTTTCTTTTTACTGGCTTTACACACTGTGGACTTCTGAATGATTTTGCTTGAAGAGTTCTACTGCTAAAAATACAAGTCTAAAATCACTGATTTATATCATGTAAGTTAATGGGTTATTCATATTTGAGAAAGCTGTGAAACTAAACCAGAAAGCTACTTTGTAGCCATTAATTCCTAAAGGAACAGAATAGTGTAGTAGCATGTCAGTCTGGGAATTAGGCTGATCCTGTACTGGGCCAGTCATTTCACTTCCCTGGATGCTTAAGTACTTACTATCTAAAACGAAGGAGTCTTTATTCTAAGGTGGCAGGCCTATAAGACATGATCTTTAGGAATGCAGTCATAGGGTCATTATGACACGTTACTGCTATGACAAATATGACAATGTTTTAATAACATGAGTAACAAAGTAGAACAGCTTTTCAAAGATAAATAAGTAAATATCACACCAACAAACAATTCCAAGAAACTTGTTACATGTTCCTCTGCAAATTTCTGTTCTAGAAATGCCAGGATTCTTTCGCTTATTCAAAGGTATTAACCTCAACAAACTCAAAGTGCAGCACAAACCTTTTTTTAAATAGGACGAATTAAGAAAGAAATTAATGACTTCTTAACCTCACTTGCTAAAATTTGCCCAGTGTTAACCTTATTCCTAAGAAAATCTTAGAATTTTCCTCAAACTTTCTAATTGTTTAATCATTTAGTCAAAGCGTAAGGTAGGAAAGAGGGCTTTCAAAATTGTTAACCCAAAATTGTTCTCTTAATGACATTCATTCTGTTGAGACTGTTACCACTGAGAGTTAATTTTAACTCGTTGTGGTTTGTAGAGGTTTTTTTTCCTTGTTCTGTAAATGACATTCTTACTGTTATGCTAGTCCAGACAGATTTATGTAGCTCCCTAAAAATCACAATCAAGGAGCTGCTGCTCTCTGGAGGACATACCAACATAATAATGAGAACGCAAGCAGAGGTTCCACCAGGCCAAGGGAGTCACAGTTCTCAAACTTCGTGAACTTTACATTAATCACAGAAACCTAAAAGTTCTATTATGCTACAATAGGTTAAAACAAATAATTTTTCACTGATGATAAACAGCTCATAAAAATTTTAAGCTTGGTGATTACATGATTATGTTTCCCAAAATGAGTATCTTCAACGATTTCACAGTAGAAAGTACTAGTCACAAATTATTCCTTTGTCAAAATGTATAGTTTTGACTTACCCCTCCCAGATCCTGAATGTCCTTTTGCAGTTTTTCAGATACGGTGACAGAAGGTAAGTCAATGTAAAATATTTTTCCCCCTAGTGGCTTGTATTTGGATTTTTCTGGTTTGTTATCAGTTTTCATAGAATTTAAAGATGATCTGTTTTTTTCATTTTTGACTTGGATTCCACCTGTTGTTTAAAAAACGTAGAATTAGATGTTTTATACAGACAAGAAAATTTCTACTATTTTAAAATTATTTCTTATAGAACATTATACCACAGAGGAGAAAAAAATCTTTATAATCCCGCCAATTAAACACTCAATAGCACTTTTTAAAAATCATTTTTAATGTTTATTCATCTTTGAGAAAGAGAGAGAGAGAGAGAGAGCGCACAAGCAGGGGAGGGGCAGAGAGAGGGAGACAGAATGAGAAGCAGGCTCCAGGCTCTGAGATGTCAGCACAGAGCCGGAACCTGGGCTCAAACCCATGAACCGTGAGATGGTGACCTGAGCCAAAGTCAGAGGCTTTAACCGCCTGAGCTAGGCACCTCCACTCAATAGCATTTTAACATATTTCTTTGTAGTACCACCTAATATAAAACCAAAATACCATACTTATTTTCACAGATAGTTGAATCTGCAGGAAATATTTATGGATTTGTTCATATTTTTATGTACTTCGGTGGAAACTACATAAAACCCTTTTGAAAGATTTTCCTCCTTAGGATGTAAACTCCATGAGCTATTTACTCACACATATTTATGGAGCATCTGCCATTCTGTTGAACACTCAAAATTGGGGCTTAAAATGTTTAACACTTTCCAATAGAAGAAACCTGTTACCCACGATGACCTAATCCTCAAGATGCCAAAGTTTAGTTTCCTATAGAGTTTGTCTATATATTAAGAACTCAATGGTACATTTTAAGACCCAAATCACCATTCACTTCATTATTTCCCCTGAAAGCATCTGAGATCGAAACAATTGCCTTAAAAATTAACTTTCAGAATACAATCCGTTCGTAAGATGGAGATTCCTATACACGTACTACTACATATACTAGGCACATTAAAAAGAAAACCTTGGGAGGATGCAATGCACCTACCATACAAAGTCATCGAAAATGAAAATCTGTTTGTCTATAATGCTGAAACAGCAAAGGTGTATTTGAAATACAAATACTATCCCTCAACTTTATGAGTGAAAAATAAATAAATTCAAAAAGACCAAAAACCCACCCACAGCCACCCAATTTAATCAGGAACTTAAAAGCCACGAACACCTCTGCTTTCAAATAGAGGGCTCGGCGGCAGCCTCAAAGGGCCTGAGCTGAGTCTCAGGATCTGTCCGAGGCTCGGCGAGGTCCGGGGTCCGCACATTGTTTCCTGGTTGTACAATCAACGGCACAACCGGGAATCTGGGGCTGCAGCTAGAGCATGAGCAGTGCGAGGGGCCTGGATGGGATCCGTTCCCTTTCTGAGGCAAAGCCCTGGACAGAGCCTTCCTTCAGGCCACAGAGAAGGACGCACGAGCCATAAAAGAAAAGGAGCAGAGACCCCCGGGGGGAGAACTCCAGAGAATCAAAGGTGGAACCACGAGGAGAGGGAAGGATTAAAGGGACTGCGGGGGCGGGGGAGGGGCTTCATACCCTGGAAATGTCCTTTGCTGTGGATCCTCATGGCTACGGAGTTCATGGCAGCCGCCCGGCACCTACATACTGGGTTTGGGAGAGTGTCGCGCCGGGCGGCCACGAAAACACAGCGCGTCGAGGCCGATTTATCCGCGGGTCGCCTCTTCCCTTCCGCAGACTACCACACCCACGCAGCAGAGATGCCGCGTCTACCGTCCGGGTTTCCGGGGCCGGGTTGGGCTCCAAGGCGCGGAGGAGGAAGAGGTAAAGCACAAACGAGTGGGCTGCGGCGGTTGAAGATTTGAAAACGCGTCACGCGGCCGCGGCGCCCATACGCGCGCCCCGCCCTCTCTCACGCCGCGCGCCGCGCCCCCACGTGCCTGCCTCCTGGCGCTGCGCGCCCCGCCCCCACGGGCCGCGTCTCCGCCCCTCGCCCCTCCCCCATAGCTGTGCCTTCCAGGCCAGTGGTTACCGCTCTCCGCCGGTGGCTTTGCGTCCCACCGCTACCGTGGAGTCCTTGTGGCTCCTTGTTTACCAAACGTAGTGAATGCAGTTAGCCCAGGTGGCCAGCCCAACCCTCCACCAGGGTCATTCCCGCCTACTAAGATTGCCGGGGCCGCTAGCCCTCCAGCTTCCTCCTTCACCAGGTACGCTCCTTGCCCACGGGTCGGCTGTCCCGGAGGCTGGAGGCGTGGTGGCTGCGGCCGAACTAGGACTCAGCCTCCCGCCAGGCCGGGCTGGTTGGCAGCGGCAGCCTCTGCCCGGCGCGCCCCGAGTCGCGGAGCGAGGTTTTCCTGCGGTCATCGCCGACCCAGCCGGCCGGAGACAGGCCAGGCCGCAGAGGGACTTCCAGGGAGGGAGCAGCCTGTGGGGGGAGGGGGGCGTCGGAGCGAAGGTCGGGCCTGGCGACTCGCAGCCTAGAGCGAGTTCACGTCGCCTTGTGCCATTTGGTACTTGACTGTGTGCTGCTCATTTGGTCTCTGTTTTCGTTTTGTGGAGTTTATTTCAACAATAATAGAAAATGGAATTTGAAATCTCAAGCTTTAGGGTTTGGGGTCTGGACCGGCCACTTAGCAGCGTGTAACTTTTGGTTAAATTACCTAATCCCTTTGAGTGCCAGTTATTTTACTTGTAACATGGGGATAATAATGGGATTACAGAAAGGATTACATTAAAATATGTTGTAAAGTGAAATAATTTTGTAAGTGGGAAAACGCTTCACAAAAAAATTATTTTGGGTTTGTTACTGCTTGTAAACTTGTGAAGGAGGAAAAGGATTAAATCGTGTACCATTTTGCATTCATTAACATCTGGCCGTAATAGTCACTCATTGTATAATGGTTGATTTTCGAACTAGTGGAGGTCGGGGAGGTTAGTGCCAATATCACCGTTTCACCGATAGGTACCTTAAAGCATAGGATTGTAATAACCCTTAACCAAAATGGAGAATACAAAGAGGTGGTTCAGGTTTGCTAAGGGAAATGAGAGTTCAGTTGTGGATGGCTTTAGGTTGGAGGACCTGGGGAGAGAATCATGAAACTATATTACCAATCGGTAATACTTGTTTGTAAGGTAGGAGAGGTGGGGGGTGGGGGAAGGTAGTGAAGAGAGGGAAAAGATTGGTTTGAGAGGCCTAGACACCCTCAGCCAGAGGGTGATGTGGAAGAGGTTATCAGATCTTGGGAGGCAGATGGAGGTATAGTTTGAACAAAGCATTCAACATGAGAATTTCTGTTTGAGGGAAACAACCTGTTTCCAAAATGTAAAGCTACAGAAAGAGCACAAGATTTTTATGTTTATTAAAAACTTTAGGGTTGAGAAACACGAATATAGAATGCAGTTAAAGTCATTTAAGGAATGACTTTAAGGAAAGTCATTTGAGGAAATGACATTACCCAGGAGGGCATGTGAAATAAGAGAAGGAGTGATGAGCAGACCATGATGAAATAGTGAGAAAGATGGAGAAAAGCTCGTAGAGGTGGGAAGAGAATTGGGAACGAAACTTCCCAGAAGTCACAGAATTACAAACATTGGGCTCATGCAGTCTTCACTGTCTGGCTTTGGGTAGTTTTGAACCTTAATTTTAATCTTTGAAAAGGCTGTGATTAATACTTCTGAAATATTATGAGGATGAAATGAAACATTTTTCAAAGCTTAACTAGTACCACAGAGAGCTTAGTAAGGGCTATCGTTCTGGTGAACTCTACACCAGCTCCTCCATCTTCAAGATTTCAAGAAGGCTAAGACTTGAAAGGAAAAATAGGCCTGTCAGTAGATGACTAAGGTTAAGTACTAGATAAAAACAATGGCCTTGACGTGGAGACAGGTTCAGTGTACTCTTGAAAAAATTAGTGTAGGGAATTAAAGTGATAGGAAGGGAAAATAGGGTCTTTGGAAAGTTTAGGGGATACGGGAAATATTTAAACATATTTCTATCAAGAAAATAAAAAAATGAAGCCCATTTTATGTTCTAGTGAAAACTGAGTTACCTTTCTTATTTATAATAATGAGGAAACAGTAACAGTTGTACCATATGGTTTTAGACACACCCTTTACTTCATTATAGGTGATAATGACAAGCTATGAATAAGCAGAAAGTCTGTTTTACGGGTGTTAATAAGTTTCTAATCTGTAACTCAAGGTTAATTTAAAAAAAATATTTTTGGAGCTCAAATCTTTCAGTAGCTACAGAAAAGATTTGGTCATGTGTCTATGCCCTGTATGCATAGAAACCCCTTTATCTATCATGTCAGTAATCAGGCTGTTGATAAGATGATGAACTTTATGCTACAGTATATCTTAGGGTATGCTTCAGGTGAAGGGTATACATTCAAGAAGAACTGAATGGGGAAGGGGGCAAGGTTATTTGTGTGAGAAGTTTGTTTAAAGAGTTTTATTAAGCAGGGGCGCCTGGGTGGCTCAGTCAGTTAAGCAGCTGACCTTAGCTCAGGTCTTGATCTCACTGCTCCTGAGTTCAAGCCTAAGGTTGGGCTCTGTGTTGACAGCTCAGAGCCTGGAGCCTGCTTCGGATTCAGTGTCTGCCTCTCTCTCTCTGCCCCTCCCCCGCTCGTGCTTGCGCGCGCGCTCTCTCTCTCTCTCTCTCTCTCAAAAATAAATAAACGTTAAAAAAAAATTTTTTTTTAAAGTTTAGAGTTTTATTAAGCCAAGTTGTAGAACATTGAGCAGAATCATGGTCTAATTAAATGAACATTTGGCTGTGAATCAGGAGAAATGAATTCCACTCAGTATTGACTCTATTCCTAAGAAGTTTTATTACCTTAGGCAGTTTCCTCATTTGTAAATGAAGACTGTATCTGCTCAATCTACCCTACAATTTTTGTGATTATGAAATGAGGCCTAATCTTTTTCAGACTACCTCTCACATATCCAGATTTAATTTTTTTTTTAATTCTAGAGCCTAGGCAAATGAATGAATTTGTCCATTCTATAATAGTAATCACTTTCCTATTTTCTTTCTTTTGCTTAAGACTCCACCTGTTCCTCTTCCCTGTTCATACCAAGCCTAGCTTAGATTGAGCCTTTATCTCCTGCTAATTTGAGGCCTTCAGCAATATTCGTATTTGATTCATTTGTTAACTGTTGGTATATGGTCTTTTGAAATGTGTTCTCTTGCTATCTTTTAAATTCACTTTTCACATTTTATAATCTCAATATCCTGGTGGATTGGAGAATTTAGGGGTTTTTGAAGATTATGTTTTTAGTTTCATAGGCTAAGCATATGAAAAGATAGGTGTGGCACTTATAGGTGTGGTCCATGTCTCAAGTGAGGGTGGGCTGGAAAACCAGGGAAAATTCAGTGGATCAAGTCCTTGAACACAACCTCAGTGAAGGGTAAAAAATGGAGAATTAGCAAGACAGGAAGATTCAGAATTTGAAAGTGGATTCCCTTGAGACAGTATAATTCAGAGGCTGCTATGGCATCTATAGGAGGATAATGAGCTGGTTCATAAGTGATACATCATGTTCTGAACTAGATTGTAAATTCCTTAAGGGTCATACAGGATACATACATACTATTTGGCCATGACTATAAAATAGTCTACATATTTATCTCATTTCTTTCCTTATGTATTGATTGAGCACCTACAGTGTGCTATGATCAGTGAGAAAGGTTTACATAAGACCCCATAGAATTCTCCTTATGTAAATTTTTTAAATTTCTATAATATAGTAGTCCCTTATCTGCATGGTCCAGAAGCAGATGATCTTCCTCTGATCTATTGTCAGAAGGTCAGTGGTAACCTAACACTACTTCGTTCACCTCACTTCATCAGATCATACAGACATTTTATCATCTCACATAATCACAAGAAGGATGAGTACAGTATAATAAGATCTTTAGAAAGAGCAAGGGACCATATACACATAACTCTTATTACAGTATATTGTTATAATTCTGTTTTTAGTTATTATTAATTTCTCAATATGCCTAATTTATAAATTAAACTATGATAGGTGTGTATGTATAGGAAAAAACAGTATACATTGACTTTGTTACTATATGAGGTTTCAGGCATCCACTGGGGGTCTTGAAATGTATCCCCTGGCAGATGAGGGGAGACTTCTGTATTCCTGATAATCCATATACAATAAAATGCACACATTTTAAGCATACAGGATGAATTCTAATAAATATGTATATCCATGTAATTTATTCTAAAATCAAGATATAGAACATTTCTGTTTTAGAAGGTTATTTCATTCTTCATTCCGTTTTCTCATCCCATCAGAGGTAACCAGTTCTCTGGCTTCTATTAGCATAGTTTTTCCTATATTTCAACCTAATATAAGTGAAGTCATATAATTTATATGTTGTAACTCTGAATTATTTTGCATAAAATAAACCTTTTATGATATATCCATGTTGCTATATGTAACAATAGTTTATTCCTTTTTATCACTGAGTAGTATCCCATGGTGTGAATATAGTGTACCTGGTGATTTATATTTGGATGGTTTCTTCTCACCTCTGACTGTTATGAATAATGCTGGTATGAACATTTGTATACAGGTCCTTTTGTGGACATATGTTTTTATTTTTCTTGGAATTGCTGGATCATATGTTTACTGAATGTTTAACACCATGGGAAATTACTGAAGTTTTTAACTCTGCCCTCCAGCAATGTATAGAAGCCTCAGTTGCATCCTAGTCTGTGAGAGTGAAGAAATACCTCACCTAGTTTTTAAAAAAATTGAGGTGAAATTTATACAACATAAAATTCACCATTTTAAAATGTATAATTTAGTGACTTTGAGTGTATTTATATTCTTATGCAATCATCAACGCCATCTAATTCCAGGACATTTTTAAAACTTTAAAAAGAAAGCTGATAGCCATTCGGCAGTCATTCCCCTAATCCCCCTCTCCTCAACCCCTAGCAACCATGAATCTGCTGTCTACATATTTGCCAATTATGAAAGTTTCATATAAATAGAATCATAAAATATGTCTTTTTGTGTCTGGCTTCTCTCATTTAGTATAACGTTTTCTCAAGGTTTACCCATGATATAGCATGTATTAGTACTTCATTCTTTTTTTTTTTTTTTTTTTTTTTTTTTTTTTTTTTTTTTTTGATTGGATAAAATTCCCTTGTAAGGATACACCACATTTGTTTATTTATTTCTC